ACTGAAGAAGGAAAGAGGCTGCCCTCCCCTGTGGGGGCAGGGCCAAGCCTCTGACCACGGCCCAAGGCCACCTTCCTGCCTAGCCAGAGGTCTGCAGTGTAACCCCAGCACCCCGGAGCCAGAGGGCTGAGCTCTGCAGTGACCGGCAGCGCCCACTGTCCCCTCCACTCAGCAAGGGGGTGTGCAGGCCCTCGCACCTCAGAGCCTTGACTGTCCTCAGCCCCCCACCCCCTTTCAAGAACAAGGAGGGTGGGCGATGAAAGGTCAGACCTGGTGGGCCGGCAGGCCTGGGTGGTGAGAGCTCCTCTGGCGAGTAGTGTCCTGGGGGCTTAGACACGCCCCCCTGAGGGGCCTCTTTCTTCTCCTGCCTGTGTGGATGGGACACGCATGGAGTGACCTGCAGGAGAGGGGGCGGCTCCAGGGCCCCTTCACAAAGGCTCTCCCCCACTGCTGCCCCACTTCCTCTGCTTCTGCGGTCTCTCGCCTTTCCCCTCCTTCTCCTGTCTCTCCTCTCTCCTCTTTTGCTTATTTCCCCTCCTCCCCCATCCCTCCCCTTCTCCCCGTCTCTCCCCTCTGTCCATCCCCTTCTTTTCCCTTTTGTCCCCCTCTCCTTCTATCCCCACTTCTCTCCCCTTCTGTCCCTTCCCTCCTCTCTCTCTCCTCTCTCCTCTTCCCCTTCTCCCCTCCTCTCCCTTCTATCCCTCCCCTTCCTCTCCTCTCCCTTTCTGTTCTCTCACTCCCCTCCTCCCCCACTCCTCCTCCCCCTCTCCCCCTTCTTTCCCTCACCCTCCTTTCCTCTCCCTCTCTCTCCCCCTTCTCCCCCTTTACCCCTTTTCACTTTGTCCCTCCCCCTCTTTCCCCCTCCCTCTCTCTCCCCTCTCCCCTTCTCCCCCTTCTCCCCCTAACTGCTCTCTCCTTCCCACTCCCTCTCTCCTCTCCCCATTTTACCCCCTCTCCCCTCTATTCCTCCCCCTTCCCCTCTCTCCCCTCTCTCCCTTCTCAAAGGCAGCTCCTTGTCTGTCCATCCTTCAATGACATGGCCTGGCTGGCAGCTGAACTACGTCCCCAGGGACCCTGAGCAAAGCCTTTGCCTATTCCCGACCTGCAGGCCCCAAGGGAGGTACAGGTGACTTGTATGGAGATCACAGCATGGCACCCTCTTGGGACTCGTCCCCAAGAAGGAGTGTCCCCAGGCACCCCAGGCACAGATGTCCAGAATGAACAGCTCCATGCAGCACCCCTGCCTCAGCTCCAGAACCTGGCTGAGAACTGGCCCTGCCCGGCCCCTCTGCCCAGTCCTGGCCACCTTGAGCCCCACGAGAAACCACGTGGACCAAGGCCTCCCATGGTCCTGATGAGCCCTGCTGCTCAGAGCCAGGGTCCTGGGGGAGGGTCCCTTAGGGTCCAGCTGCCACCTTGGTTCTTCCCGACCCTCTGGCAT